ATGCCAGTCAAGAGCCTAGCACAAGCCCAGCACACACTAGGTGTACACCTAGCATATTCCCTCCTACCCAATTCTCCTTACCCTTTCTTCTATATTCTCTTTTACAGGGGGTGGCCACAGCTAATCACATCACCGCAATGAGGGACTGACTAATGTGAGCCAGAGAGGACAGCTCACTTCCTGGTCTATCACATGCCCAAGTTCTCACCAGCCTCCCTGTGCCCCATTTTCTTAGTGACATTCACTGCTGACTCACTTGGTCTGTGGTCAGCCCTGAACCCAGGGCCTTTTACAGCTCTCCCTTTACCCTACCACCAATCCCCAACTTGGATCTGTGGCATGGGAATGGGAACATTATTAAAGAACACTCTGTTTTGGTGGCCCTTTTCAAGGAGCTAAAAGCATTGCTAGACTGGCAGCTTCATGAGGGCAGGGGGCCATGTCTATTTTGACCACTTCCATTTTCCCATTGTCTAGAACGCTGCCAGTAGGTAATTAGTAAATATCTGTTGAATGAATTAATGTATTTTGAACTGGTCCCAGTCTTCCTGGTGATTCCCACCTGCTCTGGGGCAGCATCCTTGCAAAAGCAAATAAGTAAAACCTTAAACTTTACCAATAAATTGAGCTCTAAACTGATTCTCACAAGTATAGGGCAATGGAAGGACCTGTAACTCAGGCTTGGGTTTGAATCCCAGCTTTGCTAATCATTAGCTTGGTAACTTGGAGCTAGTTGCTTATGGCTGAGCCATAATCTTCTCCTTGGAAAAATGGGATATCAGCATCTGTCAGGGTTATTGCAAGAAATAAATGCAAATATATATGTGAAAGCACCCAGTGTGAGCCAGCAGTGATCTTGGTTTCACATCCTTCACTCTTTCTGGAGTACCTGCCTCCTTTGACTGCCCTTGCCTCCTGCAGTTTGGTCCAAATCTACTCTCCTCTCTCAGATCTTTGTTTGCTCAGCCTTCCTCCCTGCTTCCACCTCCAACAAATCCATGCTCTGCCTGACGCCAGCACCCTCAGCAAACATTTGTTAAGCCAGCATCTCAAATTCAGGTGCTTACGGGGACCAGACATGTGTGAAGAGAGCAGGCTGGGTGGGATTTTTACATGAAATCTCCCCCTTAAAATTTTTTTAAAACTTTCCTTTAAATTGAGTTATTTTTACCTTTTCATTTTGAGATAAAGTTTGTGAAAATAATACCAAAACTCTTCATATGTTCTTCACCCAAGCTTCTCCAAATGGTAACATGTTACATAACTACACGCCATTGATGAAACCAGGAAAATAACTCTGTACAGTATTGCCAGCTAACCTACACATCTTACTCAGATCTGCTTTTTTTGCTCCCAGACATCTCACATGATTTAGGTGTCATGCCTTTTTGTCTCCTCCAACCTCTGACAGTTCCTTAGGCTTTCCTGGCCTTCATGACCTTCAACTTCCTGATAAATGCTGGCCATTTTATAGCATGACCCTCAGTTTGGGTTTGTTTGATGTCTTATTATGATTCATTTGAGGTTTTGCATTTTGAGCAAGATTCCCACAGGAGGGACGGTTTGCCCTCTGCAGTTCGTCAGTTCGGGAGGCACATGACATGACATGTCTCCTTACTGGTGACACTTGGGTCGCTTGGTTAGGGTGATGTCTGCCAAGTTTCTCCAGTGTAAAGTTCCTTTTCCCTTTGTAATTAATGAAGATTCTGTGGGGAGGTACTTTGAAGGTATGTAAATATCCTGTTCATCAAACTTTTGATTTATTCATTTCTTCATTTATATATAGATTTGTGGCCTTTTTAAAAAATCCAGTGGATAGTTCATAATGCGTGATCAAAACCGAAAGTTTCTGTGATGACTGCCCTTGTACTGTTCACCATGTAAGAACTTATTCACTATGTAAGAACTTGTTCACCATGTAAGAACTTGTTCGTTATGCTTCAGAAGATTGGAGACTGATGAGAATTAGGCTTGGGGTGGATTAATGATTGTGCATTGAGCATTGAGTCCCCTATACAGAATTTTATTGTTGTTAACAACCATTTGATCAACAAATATGAGAGATGCCCTCTCAAAAAAATAAATAAATAAATAAAATAAAAGAACTTCATATTTAAAAAAAAAAATCCAGTGGATTATAGTCTGTTACTATACTGATTGATTTAATGCTTACATGGTCCCTTCTTTGACCAGTGGGAGCCCCTTTAAGCTGGCTTCTTGTCCTTTTGATATGTCCCCGTCTTTCTTTGAACACTTACTTGCTTTCTGGCATAAGAAGATGCTGCAAGCTCATCTTGATTTTTACCCTTGATTTTGCCCAGCCCTGGAATCAGCCATTTCTCCAAGGAGCTGATTTTTCTGAGTAAAGAATGATATTTTAGAAGCCATGATTTGAGTTCCAGACACACTCATTGCTATTGAGCTGTCACTGTCCCTGGATCCTCACTATGGAATGAGCTAGGAAATATATGTCTAGATGATGTATCTACACACACAAATATTTCTATATTTGCACATGTTGGAAATCATGAATTCACAGTGATACCTCCATTTCCACTCTTGACACCACTGGGTTTATTCTACTTTTCTATGTGTACCTCCCTTCCCCAACAGTGAGGCAACTGGCCCCCATTATCCTCACTATACTTACATATTTGACCAGTCCCCCTGTATGTCACAATCTCCCATCTCTCCCCTCCTCGCCCTTAATCAGGTTCTGACACTTGGTCCTGGGCCACCCCCTCCTCCTCACCCTGAGCTACCTCTGGCTTCCCATAAAACTCCCAGTTTTAAAATGATGGTTCACATATTTTTTAAACTGTGAGGTCTAGTTTCCACCTGTGGGCCCTGGGTGGTGACTGGACCAGAAAGGCCTGTTCCTCTCCAGCACCCACTCCCTCCATGCCTGTCCCAGCACCACGTGCAGGGAATCTCGGCTCTAGCACTCCAGGTTCGGGCCTCTTGGCCTCTGCCTTTGCTGTCCTCCCTACCTGGACTACTCTTGGTCTCTGCCTACCCCATCTCCCTTCCTCCTGCTCTGTTCAGACATCACCCCCTCTAGGAAGCCTCATGGATTACCCCAGATGCCCCTTCTGGGCTCCTAACCGCATGATGTAGCACCACTGCGCTCCCCTTCTATTTCCTTCTTGGTCTCTGCTGCTAAACTACAGGCACACAGGGCCAAGGGCCAGTTTTTATCTCCAGGTCCCTAGTCCCTAAAAGAGGGCACAGCCCACACTTCCTAGCTGCCAGACATGGCTCAAAGTGGTTTCTATGCACTGAGTCTTGGACCTAGCCCCTGTGCTGTGAGATAGTTACCACTGTTGCCCCCATCTTACCACTCAGGGAACTGAGGCTCAGAGAGGTTAAGTAAGTCTCGGGCCTGAAGTCGCACAGTGGTGGCGTCCTGCTTGAGCTCAGGCAGGCTAGCTGCAGTACATCGTCTCACCTCCAGCAGGCCTCTCGCAGCTGGAGCATTTGCAGAATAAGGAAAGTGTGTAGTTATAGAGTGTTGAGTTGTGTGCCACCTTCCTCCCCACCACACTCCCGGCCCCAGCTTCTAGTGCCCTTAGGGGCCCAAGCACAGGTGATTGGTAGCTGAGCAGGTAGGAGAGAAAGTAATGCCTTTTAACTTGGCAGCCCACAGGAATTTTTTTCTCCCCTGAGGTCTTAGGAAACCGAGCATGTTTCATATGTAATTAGAGTGAGCTCACGGAGTCAGGTATCAGATATTACACAATATTTCCAAGGCATTGCATTGGGTTAGCAGGGCCAACCCATTATCCCCAAGAGCCAGAGCAGCTGGCCTCCTCACCAAGCCAAGTTCTACCAAGGAACCTGGGAACATTGTGTGGACTTAGAGCTCTAGCAGTAGATCTTGGCTGCGTGAGAACTGTCTGCTCGGGTTCAAGTGAAGTGCAGGAAGCCAAGCGTGTGAGGAGCCTCCCTTGAGCATTCTGTGTTGAATCCTCCACAGACCTTAACTTCCTTGCTCCTCTCAATGGCCTGGCAGGGTCAAATAGTATTAGCCCCATTTTTACAGACGAGGAAACTGAGACTCTAAGAGGTGAAGTCATTTGCCTAAAGTCACACACTGAGGAAGAAGACCAGCGAGGATTTGAACCCAGGGCAGTCTGATTTCAGTGCCCTAAGTCTTATTAAACAGCTGGCTAGTATTACACCCATGTCTGTATGACCTCAAAACCCCCAGTTCTCCCACCATACCCCATGAGCCCTGTCTGCTCAGATGGGATCCATATGTAAGAAAGGTGTCTGCTCTGTGTCTGGGGCAGAGACCTGTGTTAGATAGGAGCCAGCACCATCATGAGCCGATGCTAAGACTGTGGGCCCAGGCAGGATTTTACTTTACCCTCATGCCCTCCAAGGCAAGGAGTTAAGAATCTCCAAGAAGCAGGCTGCAGGAACCTGCAGGAACTGGAAAGTGGGGAGTAGAAATAGAGGAGGCAGAGGGAGAAAAGGGAGGCGGGGGTGGAGAGGTGATGCTGGCCAAGAACAGGGTGCCATCACAGAATTCAGGAAAGACTGTTTGCCTGTTGGCTTCAGCATCAGAGAAACCCAAGGCTTGAGTTCAGTTCATTCCACAAATGCTTACCGAGTGCCTACTGTGGACCAGGCCCATACTAGGGCCTGGGGACATGGCAGGGGGCAAAACCAAGCAAGGTCCCTGCCCTTGTGGAGGTTACATTCTGATGGCGAAACACCCAATAAGAAACAACCAAATGTGAGGGGTCACAGTTATCTGGGATGGGTGGTAATAAGTGTGAAGAAGTGTGACAAGGGCTCTGTGGTTGCAGGGTCCCATCAAAAGGGGGTGTCCTTCAGGCCTCATGGAGGCCGTGACCTGAAACAGTGGAAGAGCTGGTTCTGGGAAGAACCGTGGCTTGCTGACCCCTGTGGCATGCCAGCCAACACCATTTTCCCTGTGCCTGAGACCCACCCTTTGTGCCCACCTCACCCCTGTCCCCTTTTTCTCTCCTCAGGTTTGACATCTACAGGAAGGTGCCCAAGGACCTTACGCAGCCAACGTACACTGGGGCCATTAGTGAGTAGCCACGCTCCTTGCCATAGCCCCTACCCCAACCTGTGCCTGCAGCCCCTGTGCAGCACTGTGAAGCATGGAGGACAGGAGAGACAGGAGGAGGAATGATGGGCAGCTTGTCAGGCCCTTCACACAGTTCCTCGTCTCATCTCTGTCCTCACTGTAGCCCTGTAAGGTGTAGGTATCAGGTAGATACACCAAAACCATCATCAGTAGCTGCCCCTGGGAGAGGAAACGGGGGCTCAGGGATAGGGTTGGGGGGAATCTTACTTTTCTCTTCCTGCCTTTTAGACTATTTGAGTTTTTGGCATAAGCACATTTTTAACCATTAAAAAAATAGTAAGAATCTCACCCAGAGTTTCGTGTTCTAAATGCCGGTCTTCAATAAAAGGACGCAGGGATCCTTGGAGAAACGACTGATCCCATCGCTGGGGCAAGAAGGGTACAAAATAAGCCTGGAGTGCCTTGTGCCGGAGAGCAGAGGGCCCAGAGGGAACAAAAAGGATGGGCACGCGTCAGCAGGAGCCAACCTGAGGGAGACCCAAGACCGACATGGGGGCAGTTTGAGTAACACCATAAATAATGGCATGATTGGCTTATAACCCAAAGAATTAAGAAAACATGTGAGTCCACATTGATACAAGTAAATGGGAGAGAGGGGATGCATCTTCCTCGTGGAAGAATTCCAAATAGTATATATGAATATATTCCCCTCCAAGAGGTGGAGCTTAGTTTTCTCCTGAGCATAGGCTGGGCTTAGTGACTTGCTCCCCAAGAGCAGAGAATGGAAAGGAAATGGTGACTTCACTGCGGGGACACCCAGGGACAGGATCTTAATGGTGGGATGAAGGTCAGCACCAACCAGGGAGAAGTCATGTAGATGCCACACACCCCAAGGGGCTATGATGGGACAGGCACCTCACCTCCGTGGGATGTTCCCCCAAATCACTGCCCAGGGTAGTTAGGAGAAAACATTGGGCAGCCCCAGATTGGGGGACATTCTATGGGACACCTGGCCAGTTCTCTTCAAAAGTGGCAAGGTCTTGACAACCACGGAAAACACTGAGGAACTGTCACAGATTTGAGACCAAGGACACGTGAGATACTCGATGCAGAGTGAGATCCTGGGTTTGGTCTGGGAGTAGGAAAAGGGCATTAGTGGGGAAACTGTCAATATCTGAATAAAGTCTGTAGCTTAATTCAGAGTATTGTACAATGTTAATTTCTTCATTTGGACAAATATACCAAGTGTGGTTATGGAAGATGTTAACGTAAGGGGAAGCTGGGTAAAGGGTGCATGGGAGCTCTTTGTACTATCTTTGCATCTGTTATTACTCTACAATAAAATGTTTATTAAAAGCAAAACAAAAGTGGCATGCAAGCAGGAATCCTTCAGCCTCATTTTCCAGAGGAGAAAATGGGCTCAGAGAGGGGAAGTGGTATTTAAAGTTTCACAACTCACAAAAGGTGGGCCTCCCTCACCTCCCTGGCCTCTGCAGCGCTTGATATGGGGGAGGGACCTGAGGACTGTCTCCTGAGCAGAACCCTGGAGCCGAAAAGTAAGATTGGAGTCCATTACCACCTCCCAGGGTGGAGCGTGGTCAGGTAGAAGGATGACCTTGGGGACCCTCCTCCCTTGCTGGCACTGCCCATCCAACCCTCATTAGTGCTGCACATGCCTTCTTTAGCCCTGGGTCTCCACATCTCTGGGGAAGGGAGCAGAGCAGTCAGGCAGCAGAACAAATGCCCTGCAGGGTTTGGGGCTGGCAGAGCTGGGTTCATTCTCCCATTTAGCAGCTGGGCAACCCTGAGCAAGCCAGTTCACCTCTCGGAGCCTCAGCTTCCTGATCTGGGGATTAAGTGAGACCACAGCTGCCAAGTGGAGGGTATGTGCTAAGTCCTCAGTGCTTGGACCAGGCTCCTCTTATCACTATCCTCCTGGAGCCACAGCCTGCGAGGGTCCGTGACGGCAGAAGCTGTGACACTTTGTGCCATAATACCCATGGAAAGGATGTTCAAGGGGCATGAGAGGAAAAGGGCTTGTTCATCTATCTGTTCAATTAGTTGATGAACTTGGTCAAAGAAATTCAAATGAGGCTTCCTGTCCCCTTCCTACTGCCAACTAACAGTTCAGACCTCTTCACAGTTTCTATAGTCTGACTCTTGTCAATCTATCAGGTGTGTATCCTTCTAGAATTTAAAAAATATATATTCAGACTTTGACATACCTCTGTCATTGTTTTGAGCATGGGTGAAGCTCACCACGCACACCATTCTTCCCCTCCCCTTTTCCGGCTGATGTGTCTTGGACACCTTTCATGCCCACACATAATGGCTGCCGCATTCCTCTTTCCAGCCACGTCATAGTCCATTATCTGGACAACTACCATTTATGCAACCAGTTCCTAGAGGGTGGCTGTTCCCAATTCCAGTTTATGGTTACTACAGGCATCCTTGTCCATATATTTTTGTATTATCCTTATATGATTCTGTAAGGTAATTTTCCTAAAGAAGGAATTACTGGGTCAAAGGGCATGTGCGTTGTAAAATTTAAACAGTTTGCCAAATGACCCTCCAGGGATGATGTCTCATCTGTGGTCCCAGCCACAGTGTACGAGACAGTGAATTCCCTTACACAAGAGGAAAGGCGTGAGGCATGGGAAGCCAGCCCTAGCTACCATTTAGCGAACAAATATTTATTAACTAAGTCTCAGGGCCAGGCCCCATGCCAAGTACCAGGACCACAATGATGAATGGACTTCCGCCTTTGTCCTTGAGTAGTGTACAGCTGAGTGGAGAGACAGACACAGAACCACATCATCTCATTACATTGTGATGTGTGCTATTAATAACTGGAGGAACTGGCCAGGGCCATGGAGACTCACAGGTAGTGGTTGGAATTTTGTCATCTCTACTTATTCAGTCATGTACAGATCTCTTGATTTCCCAGAGTCTTGGGTCTTGGGTCCAACACCCTGTGTGCTGGCTGTCCCAGGTTCCCCACACACAGGCGTTCACCCAGGATCACATTCCTACTGTCCAGTGCCTGAGTCAGTCTCAGAGATGTCTAGAGTCAGAGAGCCTTAGCATCTTACCCAAACATGGCTTGAGAAATTCATCAAGGCTTCAGTATCAGAAGACCTTTCTGGTTGAAACACGTCCTACCTGCCATCATGTTTTTCATTCATTCATTCAAAAAATATTTATTTTGCATCTTCTCTGAGCCAGGCACTATGCCAGACCCTGGGGCCATAGTGGTGTGCTGAGGCATTGTCTCTGGCCAGTCTGGGGACAGGTTCTGGGGGAGCAGACATAGAGCCTGTAGGATCAGGACTGGTAGACACGGGTTTGAGCTGAGCAGACTTGGCACTTACGTCCACATGCTAGGTTAGCCAGGCTTCATCCAAGCTTTGAACAAAGCACACAGGCTTCAGAAGAGGCCTTTCTAGCCCTGTCTCCCCACCTCCAATCTGGATAAAGTTAGAATTTTGGGGCCCATTTGTAGACTTGGAGCAAAAAATGCAGCTGAAAGACCTGGGTTGATCTGAGTCAGCACTGACCTTCAGAGACACTTCCCTGTTTTGTGCCTGTTATCATTTCAGCCTCCAGTGGGTTATGGAGCTTGAGGGTGGGTGGGAGGAGTGAAAATGATTCTGAAAATGTGGGTCCTATGTGATTCTGTTTAGAAAAGGTACAAGATGCCAGGGAAGGTTGCTGTGCCCACCCGGTGGGATCCTTTATTGGTAGTCATCATAACTGCAGTTTGCAGGTGGGAAGGGGGAGGGCTTGAGCCAGGATATTTGGATTGATAGCTGATCTTCTGCAGTGGATTTGTTCAGCAGCTAGAGAAGACATTTGACATTAATTTCTATGCCACAAAAACAAACATGGCCATTTTATATAACTGACATGGCACCTGTTCAGACATAGGTTGCAGAGTGAACAACCCATGACTGAAAAGGATATGTACATTATGCTGCTGTTTGCTTAGAGGGAAAAAGGATTTATGCATCTATGTTTGTATGTCTGTGTATATATGCTCTCTACGTACATGACTGTAACAGCAGTACCTCTGGGTGGAGGCTGTGTTCCAGAAGCAAGAAAGAGCCCCTCCTAGAGTGCCTTTTTATTCAACTGACTATTTTCCTTACCATGTGCATTTATTATCTCTACTGAAAAAAAAAATGGAGAACTCTTTAACACTCCCCATACAGTTTTTTGAATGTTTGGAAGACCCCAGGAGTAGTCTTAGCATCCCCCATATCTTGGTGGCGACTCTGGGGATATCCTGTCTTGCCCTTCACTCAGAGTCTGAGATCGTGGGGCTTGTTGGGAATGTTGACTCTAGAATGCACAGTTTCCAGTCCTGTCCCTCCACCCGCCATCCAGTGCTTCCCTGGGCCAGCCTCTTCTTCTCTCTGAGCCTCCATTTCCACACCCTTACCATGGGCTCACGTGCTCCATCAGGCAGGAGTGTGAGGTGACAGGGTGACCGTGAATGCCCCCACAGAGGGGCACTTGGTGGTGCCCAGCAAACACTCCATCTCCACTCAGAATGCATTGTTGTTCACGTGAAGGCTGAGGTGACATGATGGTAGTGATGATGGCGATCATGACGGTGATGATAAATAACTGGTTTTGGTGCCCATCACAATTGCTTAGTCAATCCAGGCGCAGGCTGTCGGGGAGGGAGCAGAACCAGCAAGTGTGATAGGGAACTTTTTAAATTTTTGCAGGAAACTAAGGGCCAAACCATTTGTCAAATCACCAAACCCTGCAAGGTCTCCCTGATGAAAATCCGAATAATGAATTAATGCTCAAGCCGTTTTACCTGCCTGTGCTATTTCAAGCCCAGTCCCCGTGTTATGGAAAGTCTCAGAGCAGCCTTATAAGGCAGGTACTACTACTCTTGACATTTTACAGATGAGGAAACTGAGGCAGGAAAAGGTTAAGTAACTTTAACCTTGACCAGGGACGTACAGCAGGTGAGTAGTGAGGCCACAGTGTGCCAGCCCTTGCCCACTACCTGCCTCTGTTATAAGTCCAGATGAGGTGTGCTCAGCCCTCATTCAGTACCCCAGGGGCCATTCCCTGCCTATTACTCCCTCCTGTGGAATTTTTACCTTCTGGGATATCAGTCTAGTGGGAGAAATAGCCACAGTTAACCAATAAAATGTGCAAAATGTTAAAATAGAGTCTGGGAACATAGAGGAAAGAATGATCAGCTCCACTTCTGGGAGCAGTGGGAGCTTACCACCAGAAGGAACATGTGAGTTGGGCCTCTGCCTGGGAGGATGAGTAGAAAAGTTCACCACACAAAGAGAAGGAAGATGGGGAAGGACATCCCAGACAGAGGAACCACAGAAGCAAAGGAACAGAAAGGAGATGCATATTTAGGGAACAGCACATAGCTCCATGTGGCTGGGTGGTTAGTGTTGGGGAGATGGGGCTAGAGATGAATTGAGGGTCAGAGCCTGGGGCCCCAAGGAGTGACTCCAGGGGCCACAAACTCCACCCCTGCTGGGGAGCAGGCAGCCGAGATAAGTATGAGTGAAGTGGGCCGAGTCTGGAGCTCTGTTCACCTTCTCTGCATTTCAGACTTGAAGGACCACTCTTCACTTCTGTAAAGAACTGTCCCTTCTCTTGAGGCACAGCACACAGTATTCTCATTTTCCAACTCTGATGGGGATACAGGCACAATGTTGATGGCACCACATGAGCTGGTGACAAATGGCAGCAAGCATTCAACCTCAGCCTCAGAATCAAGGATGTAGGAGGGAATGGTGGGGCCAGGTGAGCTCAGACGTCATGTGGGAATAAGGGCTTGAGTGTCCTGAGACAGCCAGAAATCTGGAATTTTATGTGACATCTGTGGATTGTTCAATGTCAGCTCCAAACCTTAAAATATATCTCACTCAAGCCAGACAGAACACATTTGTGGCCACCAATTGCAATCCCTATTTTTGACTGATCCCTGCATTACTGTGCTCTTGTGGAAGAAAGCTGGGCTGGCGCCTGGAAGATGTGCCTGTGTACGGGGGTCGGTGCAGGGGGACAGGTCCACCTTTCTAGGATCAAGCCTGCTACCTATTGAAGCCAAGAGTAAGAAGGGGCTTTGGAGGTTGTGGGGGGCCTCTTTCCCCTTCCCTCTAAGCAGCTTTTCTCTGAGAGCAGCAGGAGAGGTGGGGGGTGGCCTCCCTCCGGCATCCCTCACACCCTTAACTGTCCTCTCTGTTGTCTCTTCCAGTCTCTGTCTGCTGCTGCCTCTTCATCCTCTTCCTCTTCCTTTCGGAGCTCACCGGATTCATAACGACCGAAGTGTAAGTTGCATCCCCTGATGGGGTATTCCAGAGCTTTCTCGGACCCCAGATGAGAAGAGAAAAGGGTTTTAAAAAAGAGAGAAACCTCCAAACATTCCAGCTCCTGTGGCATCTCTCGCTGTTTCTTAAAAGGGTTTTCAAGTTAGACCGAAAGCAAACGTGTTTTGTTTAAGCTGAAGAGAAAATTTGGGTTTTGTCCTACAAGGGGGCCTCCTGAAGCCACAGATGAGCAGAAATCATTTGCTAATGTTGCCATCCCTTTGTTTGGCCAGTGGGCTTTTTTTCCCCTCTGAATCATCACAGGGTCATTTGATATTAAGGCTGGAAGAGAAATGGGTGCAGCTTCCTACACGAGGGGGTCTCCAAACCTTAAAATATATCTCACTCAAGCCAGACAGAACACATTTGTGGCCACCAATTGCAATCCCTATTTTTGACTGATCCCTGCATTACTGTGCTCTTGTGGAAGAAAGCTGGGCTGGCGCCTGGAAGATGTGCCTGTGTACGGGGGTCGGTGCAGGGGGACAGGTCCACCTTTCTAGGATCAAGCCTGCTACCTATTGAAGCCAAGAGTAAGAAGGGGCTTTGGAGGTTGTGGGGGGCCTCTTTCCCCTTCCCTCTAAGCAGCTTTTCTCTGAGAGCAGCAGGAGAGGTGGGGGGTGGCCTCCCTCCGGCATCCCTCACACCCTTAACTGTCCTCTCTGTTGTCTCTTCCAGTCTCTGTCTGCTGCTGCCTCTTCATCCTCTTCCTCTTCCTTTCGGAGCTCACCGGATTCATAACGACCGAAGTGTAAGTTGCATCCCCTGATGGGGTATTCCAGAGCTTTCTCGGACCCCAGATGAGAAGAGAAAAGGGTTTTAAAAAAGAGAGAAACCTCCAAACATTCCAGCTCCTGTGGCATCTCTCGCTGTTTCTTAAAAGGGTTTTCAAGTTAGACCGAAAGCAAACGTGTTTTGTTTAAGCTGAAGAGAAAATTTGGGTTTTGTCCTACAAGGGGGCCTCCTGAAGCCACAGATGAGCAGAAATCATTTGCTAATGTTGCCATCCCTTTGTTTGGCCAGTGGGCTTTTTTTCCCCTCTGAATCATCACAGGGTCATTTGATATTAAGGCTGGAAGAGAAATGGGTGCAGCTTCCTACACGAGGGGGTCGAGGTTGCTGACATCAGAGCCCAGCCCCCTCAGCAAAGCCCCTTCCCTGTTCTCAGGCCCACACTTGGTGAGGAATCAGTGTGGGTTTCCTGACAGTAATTGACGCATTGTGAATCCATCCCCGATTCCTAGAATCATTTGTTGTCCGGATAACCTAGTAAATGCTCTGGGGTGTGTGTAACACAGAATACCATTGGAATTATTCAGTCACGGCCTCATCAAATGCCCCTCTGAGATGAAATTAGTCCCAGGAGCTTCCTGCCTTGGCCACTGGCTTGAGACTTCCAAGCCTCTTCGTTTCTGTGTTTACAGCCCAGAAAGGCATCATAGGCTGCACCCTAGCCACCCACTCCCCTGTTAAAACGCTGGAATTTTCTTTCTCACTCATGGAATTTCTTGGTTTCCTTTGCCTCCCTCTCAGCCACAAGACAATAGGAAACTAAAAACATAGCTACTTAGCTCAGGATGGTTCTTGCAGCTGTATAAACATTACCACCTAAACTGTCCAACAGCCCTGGGAGGTAGTTGTCCCCTCTTCACAGGTGAGGAAACTGAGGCTCAGAGAGGGGAGGGGATTTGCCCACAGTTATGCACAGAGGAGGTGGCTCCAAGCCCACAGGAGTGCCACTCTTGCCCTACCTTTACTCGTTTCTGGATGTAGCTTCCTACCCTCTGCTGGTCTGGGAGAGTTTGCTTTCCCTGTCCCTCTGATCCTGTTTTTAACCCTTATGGCACCAAAGCCCAGAGGATCTTAGGGAATGGTGGGAAGAGCACTGGACACAACACTGGGGGGACCCAGAGCCAGATCTGCCTGATCACCACTTTGCTCTCTGACCCTGGGAAGATTGCCAAACCTCTCCAGCCAAACGGGGAGGGTACACCAGAGTCAAAACTCCCTTTCAGGTCTGGGGAGGCTTGTCTGCTTCCCAAAACATGAACCCCTGGGCATGAGCAAGTCAGAGAAGGGACTTTGTTATGCCCAGCCCCTAAGGGGGGACAGCCCAGTTAGTGTCTTCCTCTCTGTGCACATTTGGGCCACTGGATATCTCAGGGGTCACCTCATCATGAGTCGGAGGTGGAAGTGGATAGCTTGATGAGTCCTGCCGGCTTGGTGAAGGACCTACTGTGTGCTGTGCACCTGCCAGTCTGTCCAGGCTACGCCCCATTCCCTGGGAGAGGGGCTGTTATTGCAGGCCCCTCATGTTTTGAGCAAGGTGAGCAAGGTCCACATGTGACATCTTCAAGGAAGGAGTCCCAACCTTGTCCCCAGCATCAGGTGGGAGGCTTTCCAAATCCAGGCAGGGGTACTAGCAAGTACAAACGCCCTGAGGCAGGAATTATCTGGTGTAGGTGAAGAGCAGGCAGCATGCTGGTGTGGCTGGAAAAAAGTGAGAAACCAGGGTGGGTGGAATATGGAGTCGGTGGAACCAAGTCGGGCCACGACCTGCACATTGCTGTGTCTTAATGGGCACCATCCTTGGTCCTGAACTCCCAGAAGTCAGAGGCCAGGTTTGCCTCATTCACTGCTGTGTGGCTCCATGTTCAGAGAAGCTGGAAGTGCCAGCAGTACACACAGGCAGTCAACAAGCAAACAAATCTAGATATATCAAGTAGTGATGAGGGTTCTGAAGAAAAAAACAGAACAGGGTAGGAGACAGAGAAGGTATGTGATATTTTGTGAGTCTTAAACACGATTATTTACCTGGAAGGTACTGAATGTAGTGCATGATATACTTCAATTTCAGTAGACCCATATCTCTTCATACATTTATCATTTCATATGTATTCCCCATTTAACACTAAAGAACTTGTAAGGCTGTTCAGTGCCTGACTCTATAAATGTTTATTTCCTTATCCCCCACCTTGAATTAAGAGTGGGACTCCCTCGCCCTCTGACACTGTGAGGGGTGGCTGCTGGTCAGCTCATTCCATAATGTGGTGCAGGGCTGAGGCAGTGGGCCCCAGGCAGGTAGGTTTTGATGTCAGAGCTTGTACCTGGAGCAGGTGGGGCCCTGCCTGCTGTGTGAAGGGCACGCAGGCAAGGCAGAGCAGCTTACTCCGTTTCCCAGGAGCACAGGGTATTCTGGCTGCGCTGCTCTGTGCCCTTCCCTTTTCCAGGATTTCCTCTTCCTGGCCTGGGGACAGGGTACACGGGGACATCCTGGACAGTCTGGTACCACCACATCCCTGGCGAGGGAGAAGGACAAGAGTGAGGGGAGGAATCAAAATGTGCCGGCCGCTCAGTCAGTGTTTGCCTTGTGTCCGGCCCCATGCTGAGCTCTTCTCCATTTGTGGTGTGAGCGGCTGGAGAGAGGATGGGAGGCGAGATCTGTCGGGGCCCTGGGGCCCGAGGCTGCAGCTATGACAGTAGTGTTCAGCAGTGCCCCTAATGTTCCCTCCCTCTCTGCTGCCATGTGACCAAGGTGGCCCAAAGGGAGTCCGTGGGGGTGAGGACTGGGGACCCCAGAGAAAAGCCAGGGGCAAAGGATTGCTTCTTTGGGGTCCTCCTATTATCAGATGCTTCTCTGACCCCAGGAAGCCTGTTGGTCTGGGAAGAACTCAAGGTCACAGTTCTTCTACTTTTCTGAGTGGCTGGCCTTCCCTGGCAGTTCTGTGATAGCAGTGGGTCAGCCTGCCCCTGCCCACCCCCCACCATGAGATTGTAACCCGAGGAGCAGAGGTCACCACTAGCTGGAGCACTGTCACTCCTGCCCCAACCTGGGGTTATCAGTGACATAAGATGCTATTCTGGCCTGGCCAGGGAGGGCGGGAGGCCTGTTTGCTTGGAGGGTTGGATTCCAACCTGGGCTTTGTTCAGGTCATTAATTATCCTTGGGAAAGTGGCCCCACAGGATGCTCTGAGTTTCTAGGGGAGCAGCCCCCCTTTCCTTGGAGAGCATGGCTGCAGAACCTTCCAGCCTTTAACTGCCCAGGCTCTGGCCACTCTTAATTATTAACCTCATGAAGATTTATAATAGGAAAATGTTGTAAGTGAAACTCTCCATTGATAATTTATAGCATATTACACTGTATTATACTTTCCAGTTATGATCTATAACAGGCAACCAGGTGCAACCCAGCCACCTAGGTTAACACTTTACAGTGATAATCTCACTTAATCACCACAAAACCCTTTGAGGTAGGTAGCCACGATAAGGTTAGGAAGTTGTAGAGCCAGGGTCAAACCCAGGTCTGTCTGCCTCCTGAGCCCAGACTCAGCATCCCCACCCTATCATATCACCCTTTTCTGCCCAGAGCATTTTAGAGCCCCAGGCACATGGAAGCTGCTACTTTTTGGTCAGAATATTTGACGGGAGGACTTACATGCTCTCTTCTGGGTGAGGTGGCCAAATAGGCGGTAGGAACTCCAGGAAAGCATTCCCCACCTGGTAGGAACTTGGAAGTCACCTTTAACTGTGGTCTCACATGTTTCCAGTAGCAAGCCCAGAGGGGGAGACCAATAGCTTAACCAGGAGGAGGAGCTAGACGTCTCCCTTGGAGCCCAGGTCACCCACTCTGAGGGCTAGACTGTGATCCAAGGCTGGGCAGAGAACCACAGTTGTCACATGAAAGGGCAATGGGAGACCTGAAGGCTTCTGAGCATGGAGATGGGGTTGTGTTCATGCCTCAGAGACATCACCTCTTATGAAGGTGGTTTGGGGCAGGGCAACCCCAGAGGTCAAGGCCCTCATTAGGAGGCTGAGCAATGGCTCAGCAGAGGGGCTGAGAGTCCTAGGGTGATGGCTGTGAAGGAGGTGGAGGCAGGACTGGGTGGCTGCAAAGGGTTGATTTTGGAGACCTACCTGGTAGATAAGAGATACATCTACTTATACCTGTAATAAGTCAGGT